CACTCAGAAGGGTCTAAGTTTATCATGCATATGGCACAAAAAACTGGTGCATGGTGATCAATTAAGGTCTTTGGTTGAATGCCGACATAGGTTACCCCCTTCTGTTCTTTTAATTCCCCCAAACACAATTTATCTTAGTCATTTGTGTTATCATAAATAAAATATTTATACAAGTAATCTCAGACTGTGTTAAAAGAATCTCAATATCAAACATGAAACTGGAATTATCCAGTACAGGTTTGTTGATTCAGTAGTTTTGAGCTATAGATGATTAAATGCAGTCTGGTGCTGATTAAAAAACAAATTATTTTATATACTTTAGAGCCAAACTGGAAGCTTTAATTTGTAGCCCTCATTGTTCCCTATGATTTATTTACTTATAATCTATAGGTGATGCTACAGTACAATACACACAAAAATATATCTATTTTTAGATGCTGCTCACAGAAAATTTCTTTACTTTGAAAACTCTTGCATTCACAAAAATTGCTATTCCCTGGCAGAAAACCATAGTGCTCATTCCAATCCATAAATATAATTTCAGAAGGAATTTAATTTTGAATTTAAACTATTTTATTCATGAAGGCAGCATATGTTTAAAGCCCTTGCCAGGTTTCAGATTGCTCTTTTAAGTTTTTGTTAGTTAGATCCAGTAAAAGATATAAAGCTTAATTTAAAAAATGATTGGTCCATACTTTCTATAGCTGGAAATTACAGATATTTTTATTGTTTGGACTAGCCCAATGCCTAATTTCCTAAATTCCATTTTGAAAGGGACATAGTCACATTCCTGGCATTCTTTAAATCTGTATGCAAGTAGCCAATTCCTGTTGCATACAACTTTTTTTTGATTCACTGCATCCTGTTGGCATTTTATTTGTTATTTTTGTGTTTTATGCTTTTTTCTGCTCTGTTTATTACAAATTGTAACCCTCATGTGTTTATCTACAACGGCAACACTGCCTGATAGTAGGCACAATATTGCACATGTTCACAATAGGTAAACAAGAAACTAAGAAAGTTCGCAACTACAGTACCAGCAAGTTTTTTGGTTTTGTTTTTTGTTTTTTTTATGTAAAAATTCCAAGATCCATAGTGGGGAAAAAAAAAACATTTTTTCCAACAAGGACAAGGCCCAAATACCCCTTAAAATACAATATGAACATTGATGTGCACTTAAAGTAAGAGGTAAAGCTGTGGAGGTAGTAAAATATGACTCTGGAGTTAAGGAATTCATGAGTAAACTTTTTTATAATTAGTGATGCTATAGATATCAACGTTATCCTTAGTCTTTACAGTCTATGTGCAAACAACATTATAAATGATTGATTGATTGGTGGACAGATGGACTGACAGACAGAATAACGGACAGATAGATGCTTCTTGATGTTTGGTTCTGATCGATCAATTGATTGATTGATTGGTGCAGCTGTGTAACTATTCTATGAAATGAAGCTTAAAGAAACACATGTTTAACTCCAGAAATAGGATATCCTTGGACAACTTTAACCAAATTCAGGATTTCTGAATATTGCTTTTATGTAGAAAAATATTACCGGTATGCATCTGGGCTTTGTCTGTGGTTAACTACTGACCTTCTGCAAAAAATAAAATATCCTCAGGTCAAAGTTATCATGCAAAAGGATTTAAACATTTAGTTTTGTTATTGCCTTGTGCACAAATGTACTCAAAAAGGTCATGATCATTTTGGATTCAGATAGTGTACTTTGCCAGACTTTTAGGCTTTTCAGCAGGAGGTTGGAGAAATAGGATTCTGAACAAAAGCTGCAATTATTTTTTTCTTTCCTGGGCTACTAAAGGAAAGATGGGTGGGCCTTAGTTCAGCTTGGAGTTTTATTCTAAATGATTAAAAACAGGTGATATCATTAAGCTTATATAGTTCTGATGATTATTATGTTGTTCAGTCTGATTTTCTTCTTTCTTTCTACTGATAGAGGGCTGTTGAAGATAAACAAAACCTCTTTTGGCATAAATCTCTGTTGGACTTTCACTTTTTCTTGTGTCTTTCATTCCTATATATTTACCAATCCCAAACCTCTTAACTTGTAGTGTTAAATGTAAGAAAAGTTTGTTTTCAGACACTAAACTTACCAAGTCTTACTATTAATACACAGGGGTTGGCTGCTGCTTCCACTACTTTGTACAGCACTACAACAGTTATCTTAACTAAGATGCATTTTGACATTCTAAAATATCCTCTGTTATACAAAAGTTAATGCACCATTCATGGGGTTAATAGTTACTCCTTGGTTGGTGAAAGAACAGTTAAGCTTCTAGGTGATGAAAATGTCAGGTAAAACCGTCAAGACAAAATAACATTAGAATAAAGAAGCTGAAGACGTATTATTTACCTCTCACTTATCTTTCAAGGTTCTTACTAAATTACCCATCTTAGCATAGGCAGTGCTAAGAGGGAAGGTTATTTACATGTGCGTCCCTCTAGGATGAGCTTCAAAATTCTGTTAGTCTTATGGGGCTGTAAGTATGTTTCCCTGAACTAATCTGAAACCGAAAAAATAATCATTAATTTTGTTTATTTGCTTATTTTTATCCCTCTTCTGGGGTTTGATGTGCTCACACGTCCAATTTCAAGGATTGATAACATGCAGTGCACCATGGGGAAACAATCCTGTGTCTGTTGCGCAGCTCCTGTAAAAAAAATGGTCCTCTTGCTGCTGCAGGCCGTCTGATAGACACGGAGGGAGATTGGTTCTGTTGAATAAGAGATGAATCTCTCACAGTGTCACTATGCTGCCACGACCTCTGAAATATCATTATCTACAGGGGAAAGGAGGTTAACTTCTCTAATATACCCTCAATGCAAGAAAGAGGTGCCACCACTGAACATGAAGCTGCTTTATTACAATTATATTTCACGAGACCAGTCTTTCTCTTAAGGGATTTTTACAGCATCTTGGAACCTCAAGACACCTAAAAAACATTTTCTCTTAACTATAAATCCTTATGTGCATCTGGATGAGTAATTGAGATTTTTCAGTTTTGTTGTCTTTCAGAAATAAATAAGTTCAACAGTATCAAGGACATTTGGCACTCAGACAATGATGCACTGCTGTTACTATGTTGACTCCCTGAACTAAGCATATCCTATGAAGATTAAACAGTATTTTGCACAAACTCTGGATGTAGTATACTAGTTTTCCTCAAGCATCTTCGACATCTTCTGTTTTTATATGGTTTCTTGAAAAGAACTAAAAAATTAGAGATTTCTGGTCTTAGTCAAAGTATTAATATGAGGTGAGTCTCTTTGACAACCTGATAATTACCTGATATTAGAGTAATCACATCAACTGTCAACAGTTGGTCAATAATTGATTAACATCTAATCTGAAAATCATAGCTTAATTTATTTATATTTTACTCAAGGTCTTAGACAGACTGGATTGATTTAGTTTGAGTGGACAGGCCTGGCTGCAGGCATCCTTCTGCTTGCTTTCATCTGTTTGGTGAAGCAGAGGTGATTTTTTTTCTATCAGCGATTCATAAAATGATGTGAGATCAATGCTGAAAAGTCAGATGCTTCACAGCAGGTTACGGCACAGGTTGTGCTTGAGTAGGTACTGCAACATTATCAGTTAGTGAATTTTGACCAAAATGGTTGGAGGGTAGCATGATCTCTTTATTTACTTTCCTTTAAATTCATTTTCACACATCAGTAACTAGTATCTGTTTGATCGAAGCTGTTATTAAAGACAGTTATTTATGCATAGGATAGAGATTATTTAAGCCAGCAATAAGTAAAATTTCAGTGGGGCTCCTCCTACAGGACCTAAAAGTAGTGCTGTCATAAACACTGACTGTCCTGTGTGCACCCCACACCCAAAACAGCTGGAAGACACATACCAGGTGGAAATATCTGGAGAGGTGGGTAGTATTGTACAACATTTTATACAGTACATGTATATATACATGTATATATGCATGCATATATTTGACACACATAATCCCTAACCTCTACAAACTCCATGCAGAAAGAGTGTAGGCCAGGGTTTGATCAGTTTTTTTACACAACCGTGCAGTTCCTTAATAAACCATATAACATATATTTCTATATCACTTGCTTTTTAATATGTAGACCTGTTCATTACTTTTCAAACTAACATTAAATCAGACAGTCAGCCAGCAGGTACTTTGGAGCTTCTTTACATGATAGGGAAAACTTGCTTAAGATTAAACTGAGCAAATAATAAACTGAACAAAATGGAAAAGAAATTTGAATTAGATCCTTTTGGAGGTGCTGTGGTCACTAGAGACAGATATACCTTTTTTTGTTTTGTTTTGTTTTGTTTTTCGTACACAACCATCCCTCTGTTGTACAGAGAATGGTCCAAAAAATAAAAAATATCCAGCTAGCTGCACTCTTGTTGACAAAATTGCAGTGCTGATGTTAGAGATTAAACGAGAATGGGCCAGCTGGCTCAAGATGATTGAGGGGCAACAGGAGCTAAAATAACCACTTGATACAACCAAAGTATGCTGAATATCATCTCCAAACTCACTACATATTTCAAATTGAAGCGAGTGGGCTGTAGCAGTAGAGGACCACATGGCGTGTCACTCCTGTCAGCTACAGATAACAGGTTGGAAAAATGTTCCTTTTTATTGATGAGTGCTAGATTCAGATGAAATGTTTAGGTTGAGTAAAAATTGAGGTAACATGGAAGCTTCCATCAATAATGCCTTGTGTCAACACTTCTGGTTATTGCTGTGATGGTATGAATCAGGGATATTCTATTGTCACATTTACGACACAGTGACATATTTAGATTTTTACTCCAGTAGATTTTGATGGTTATTCATTTTAGCTTATAAAAACAAAAGTTTTTTTTATTCATGATTTGAATATTGATGGTAATTGTAGCCACACAACTGCAACAAATGTGTTCATTTTCCTTTTGAGTCGCTGACTGTCATTACAATGTGTCCTCTCTTGTCTTCTCTCTTCATGTATTTATTTTTAGGGATGTACACACTGAACCCAAAGCCCTTTCAGTGTCCAGAAGGGGAGAAAGTTTGTAACCCTTGCCTTGACGCGACCAAAGCTTGCAACCTGAACGGCATCTGCAAGAGGCACCGTAGCAGCTACATCACAACCTGCAGCAAGGACACCAATAAAGGGGAGAGCTGCAACAAGAAGCGCTGCCACAAGACTCTGAGGGCCTTCCTGGATCGCGTGCCCTCAGGGCTCAGCCAACGGCTCATCTTCTGTCCCTGCCAGTCTGAAGGCTGTGCTGAGAGACGCAGGCAGACAATAGTTCCTGATTGCTCTTACGTAGATAAGGTGAAGCCCAACTGTTTGGAGCTACGAGCAGTCTGTCGTGCGGATCCACTCTGCAGGTGAAGTAAAGAGAAACTATAGCTGTTTGTTATGTGATTTCCTTGTATTTGCTGTATATTAGTTCTGTGATCTACATATTGGGTAGAAAAAACTGAGTTTAAATTTTTCTGGAACAAAGACTTTGTATTTTTTTGATTGCCTCCTATGTATTCATAAAGTTTCATAAAATGGATAAAGTAATTAGATTTTTAAAAGAAGGAGCTATTAGATGCAAGATGAAGATGTGAGGCTTAGTTGAAGGGACAACGCTCAATTAAGCTGAACAAAACATTAGTGGATCACTTTGGCCCTCTATTGGATTCCAGCAGCCAGATTCAATTCACACCTACCCAGCCGTGACATGTTTCCTTGTGTTAGTTCTGCTCAGAGGAGGTTAAACACAGTGTGTGGAGCCAAACCAGCTGTCAACATCTTTTAGTCTAGAACCATGTCCCAGCACTGACTATCAGGAAGCTTCTCGTTGCATATAATATTCACTGCGGCTGTCCTCAGCTGCTTATCAAAGATCACATGTCCAGTTGATTGTGAACTACTGTTTTGTCTTTTTTGTATCTGAAAGTTTATTAATATCTTAGCTCTGTCTTATCTCCTTCATGTGACCACCATTTTGACTTAGGGGTTTCAGTTCATAATCTCATCTGGTGTACACTATACCAGCCACTTGATTATGGTGTATTCCTTTCCCTTTTAGTGTCAGACATCCTGCTGTGAGATTTTGACTTGTTTATGGGCCTCATTATATAGCCTGCATCTGGAAACTTACCTTGTAAGGTACCTTGTACTACCATGATTAGTGCCTCTATGCTTTCCTTCAGTCTAGCAAAAAGTATTTGTTCACCAATCCAAATTATTGGATTCAAGTGTTCCAATCATTTAAATAGCCACAGGTGAATAAAATGAAGCACATAGGCATGCAGACTGTTGTTATAAAAATTTTTGAAAGAATGGGTCAGTTTTAGGATGTGGAACTGTGATCACCTGTGCAATTAATCCAGTTATGAAATTTCCTCTCTCCTAAATATTTCACAGTCGACTGTCAGCTGTATGATAAGGAAAAAGTGTTTGAGAATATAGTCACAAAGTGGTAGATGTAACTTACAGAGAAGGCTCCATGGACGGTGAGGCGCATAGTGAAAAAGGTTGCCAGTTTTCTTCACATCCAATCGCACACTTCTAAACCCCATGTAGCCTTCATACTAGTTAAGGAACAAGGCACAGAGAGCTTCATGATTTGGCTTTCCTTGTTGGAGCTGCTAGCCTCGTGAGACCATCCTGATCTCACAAGCTTTCAAGGTTTCACTCGCAGATCAGTCTGGCTACTCTCTGTTAAAGAAAATTTGGAGCCGTTCACCAAACGAACGCCCAGTCAGCGTTGGCTTTGATTTAGGTGTGACGCAACGAGAAGCGCGACAGTTCAGTCTAAAGAACATGGCGGCTTCAGCCGATGAAACTAGCGTTAGCGTGGCTATCGAGCAAG